TTTGAATGATTCATAAAAAACTTTTTAAAAAAGAGAGAGAGGGAGAAGCATTGAGTAGGGAAGCTCTTAGTTCAGATTAGGGGCCAGTACTCTTCAACATCTTCATAAATAATCTAGATGAGGGGATAGAAGGGGAGTTCATCAAATGTGCAGATGACACCAAGTTGGGAGGAACTGCCAACACTTTGGAAGATAGGCTCAAGATCCAGAAGGACTTTGGCAGGCTTGAATACTGGACCCTAAGGAACAAGATGCAGTTCAGTGATGAGAAAATTAACATCCTGCACTTAGGAAGAAAAAAAACAAAACAAATGCATGGGTACAAAAATAACCTGGCTCAACAGTAGTAACTGGGACAACTACCAAAGTATAAGCCAGCAATATGTTGCAGCTGCCAAAAAAGCCAATGCAGTCCTAAACTGCATCAACAGAGGGATAGCATCAAGACGAAAAGTGACAGCACCGCTTTTCACTATACTGGTGAGACCATACTTGGAATATTATGTACAGTTCTGGTTACCACAATACAAAAAGTTGTTGTCATCCTAGAAAGTGTGGAGAGAAGAGCAACAAAGATGATAAAGGATCTGGAGGCTAAATCATATGATAACAGTTTGAGGGAGCTAGTTATGTTTAACCTTTTAAAGAGAAGGATTGGGAAGGGGCAATATGATAACTTTTCTTTTAATACTTGAGGGGCTGTCACAAAGATGAAACTGACTTATTCGTTAAGGCACCAGAGGGCAGGACAAAAAGTAAAGAGTAGAAGCTTGTTAAAGCAAGATCCAACTTAGAAGTAAGGAGAAATTTTCTAATAGTGAGAATAACAAATGGAATAGCTTGCCTCCAGGGGTTGTGGGTACTCCATGACTGGAATTTTCAAAAATAGATTGTACAACAATTTGCCTAGGATGGAATAAGGCTCTTTATGCAGAATCATAGAATTATAGGCATTGAAGGAACTTCAAAGAGATATAAATTCATGACAACCCGTTGGTGAAAATTTCTTTGCACAAGAAGCTTTCAACTTATTTAAATGGAGGTTGATAAACAAAGAATAATTATGCCTGCAAATCTTATCTAATTGTTTTAAAATATCTCAGAACAAGAAATGAAGATTAGAGTGAAGCTATGCAAACTCTGCATCCATTTATTTAAAATTCAACAGATTTCTTGTTTGGTGGCATCTCTATCAGGCAACCAGCTGACCTAGATATTCCCCACTCAATGGGAAGAGGGCTCTAGTCTCAAAATCTGGACAGCCTAAACTTCAGGAACAGTAACTTAACAGCATGGAATGTTTGACACTAGTACTCAAGACATACACTGATCTTTGCTGAATGTATTTACTTAAATGGCTTTAAACCTGGAGGTTGTCATTGTAAAATCACTGTGCTGAGCAAAAGATAAAACTTTAGATTAACTTTAGTACTAAAATTCAAGAACTATCTAGTAATTATGAATTCATCACTACTCTACTAGGTCAATATAACAGGATATTTACATATTGTATTCCACAAAAAGGCTGAAATGTAAAATCAGCAAAAATATTGATCCATATTATTTGATATTCCTCCCTAGCAATCTGGATAGGAAACTGCTAACCCAAAAAACAAGCCTCTCAGAATTCTGTTTAGTAACACTTATTGGAAGGAAAATTGAGATTCTAACGTAAGAGTTTCACCATAATTTCAGATGAAACACCAATACCTATGGACAATTTAGAGTGGTAGAAATCTCATTCATTTTCTTACGGTCATACAAGGGAGGGGGCCGCAAGCCTGTTGCTTTCATTAAATAGGGCATGTCTGCATCTATTCCTTGAACTAACTCTCATATATATGCTACTGATGGAGTGGAATCTGGAGAATAAGTAGGGTTAACATGAGATGGCCTACACACTATAGGTGTTATACCTTGCCCTTGTGAACTTATTAATCTTATTAAAAGCTGACATAGTCAGATTTTAAGTTAAATGAGACAGAAGCTACACAGAAGATACTCATTTTTTTCTCAGATGTGATGACTACAGTTGAGGGATGAATAATAGGCTAAAAAACTTGTTTTTGAGGTTTAAAACCATGAATTTATCTTTCAGGGTTTGTCAAAAAAACTACATAAAACAGTATTTTAATAGAAAAAAAGAGATTTAAGTAATCAACAGTCATTTCTGGCTAAAACTTAATTGGTGGGAAAAACAACAACCTGATCTGCTCCCTGAAAGCAGTTATAATTAGCCAGTATATAGTAAGCATGTCATGATAGTTCAGCAGCCACTGGCCACCAACAGCACAATCAGTTCCCACCTACAGACAGGGCAGTGAAGAGAAAAATACTTTGCTAAGCAAAAAATTGTGCTTGAATCAAAATAATTGGATTTATTTGCTTGTGGTCTATTTTTTATTTACTCCTTTCACTGTTTTTAATTGGTTTTGTAGCATGCTTTAATAAAAATTGTTTTGTAGCATGCTTTAATAAAAATTCAATAAATAAATAAATGCCATCCAGAATCAATTTGTGGGAGCTGGGGAGCCATATATACTTGTCAATAAATAATCAACCATGAAACTGGGCAATATATTTGCCTATAAGGCATTTTATTTTATTATACAATGTCATGGTCAAATAACCAATAAATCACCTCTTACTGTCAAATAAAATTTAAAAAATTATTTTACCATCCTCTAAGTGATTTAAGGGATTTACTCTTAAATCTTTGCAGCAAAATCATTTGACTTATCCCATTACTTTCAAATATTGTCGCTGCAATGTCCACAAGAAAAAAATTGGTTACCGAATTATAATGTCAACTGGTGCCAATTTTTTTGAGATATCTATAACAATACATTTACTCACATACTTATTGGCTCTACACGCATGTAAATTAGGTTTGAGATCATGTATTTTCATAACAGAGATGATATTATTCACGATTAATGTCAGTATTATTTTTAATTTATTATATGTCTACTGCTGGTTGATGACCGTAATAAAGTTTTATTCTATTCTATTCAAATACATAGGAGCTGCTCAACATTCAATATCAAAATCTAATCTAGACTTTTTAAGGATTAATGCAATAATACAGAAGCAAAGTGTAACCCTTCCTAAGTACTAGGAATCACCACTAGTGAATTGAGTGAATCCCGTTTGAGTGAATAGATCTTGGCCGCTAGGACTAAATGGAATTCAAGAGGATTCATTTTTCTCTAATCAAAAAATTATGATAAAGGAAGATATGCTCCTAAAAACTATACTCAAATAGAGTGGTAGTGTATTTAAACATATATTAATTGGGGAAATAGAAGCACCTGAACTGGAAAAATTAAGGAGCAAACAAGGACATTAGACTTCAAAAGGTGTGCTAGAATGAATGTAGAATAATTACAGAAAAGATATCTGAGTATTAGGAAAGTAGAAAATGTGAGAAAGAAAATCAAAACAACTGCACCTTGGCTATATTAGGTATAATTTGAAGTAGACACTGGCTTTGACAGGCTTTCAAAGTTTTGTTACATTAGCCTAACCACATCAAAGTACCTTCCATTTCTCTAGCAACTCCCATTCTTTTCACCTTGACTACCTCAAAAGGCTGACAAAAGATTGCTGGGAAAGTTGTGTTAATAGCTTTGTAAATTAAGGGAAGATATGTATAACACTCCATATGTTTGTTCAGAACATACATATTCTATTCTATTCTATAGCATTAAAGATCTCTAAAAGCTCTTTAAAATTCTATTTTTAATGGGACACAATGGGAAAGTGATTAAACTCGTAACCAACAATATGAAATATATTAGCCCTGTATTTCTTGGAATATTTGGGCAAATCAGCTGAATTTTATGTTGTTCTGCTCCTTCTATCATGCAACTCTTAGGATAGCCAGCTTCCGTGTATCTGATTTGAAAATGCAAAATAGTGTTAATGTGCTGCCTTGAATGGAATGGACTCCCATTAGAATGTAATTAAAAAATAAAATACTTATATTTACTATGCTTTATTTCAATTGAAGATCAGTGAAATAAATTTACTTTTGTCTTTTTATTCGCTACATTAGAAATTACTTAAAACATATTAATAAAAATGACTATGCTAGGAAACAATATGATCTTATTAATGATAGTAAAATGATTTGGAATTATCCCTAAATATGATTACATGTACAAACAATTGGCCTCGTTTATTAGCGATCAATCTAATATGGCATGGAACTTTCATTCATTTCATTGTCAAAGAAAAATTTGGTAACATTATATTGAAAGAGCATATATGGTAAAATAAAATACAGTTTAAATATGAACAGTTTGAATATACATATGTTGTACTACATTAAGAAGAAGCAAAGTTATAAAAAGGAAAGTTTTTACAGGAGTTTTAGAAAAAAAAAATGCTTGAATTATAATGAAAGGTTTGACCCAGACTACTCCACCTATTTTCCATCTCAACAAGTGAATAATCAAGGGGAGAGCCTAAATATATGTATTAGGATTATCTAATAATTATTTTAATTATTTAATGATGGGCTAGGCTAATCTGTTGTCAAAATTATCATTCATTTGTGCATATGATGCAGTGCTAAACTGACATATAAAAGGGTAGAAAACCACTGTCCAAGAACAACCTTAGCTACATTTCTGCACAAGGAAGATCCTTTCTATTGTCTTGGAATCATGAGCTTCTTGAGCCAGTCATCTAGACAAGCTTCTTCCTCCCGCAGTAGCAGAGGAACAACAAGAGTATCTGGTGGTGGATCATGCAGCTTTAGTAGTAGATCAAGTAGCAGGCTCGTTGGTAGTGGTGGCAGCAGTGCTGGCAGTGGCAGTGGAGCATGGGGCATGTGCAACTTCAGTGGAGGGGTAGACAGCAGGGGCAGATCAGTCTCTGGTGGCCTGGCATGCAGAGGCAGCAGACTGAGGACCATGAGTGCTGGATGGGGCACTTCTGGTTCAGCTGGAGCATTTGGTAGCTTTGCAGGTAGTGAAGGTGGCCTTCTTTCTGGTGATGAGAAGCACACAATGCAAAACCTTAATGACCGCTTAGCAACTTATCTTGGAAACGTCCAAGCGCTGGAAGAGGCAAACAGTGAACTTGAAAGCAAAATTGCAGAATGGTATGAAATGTTTGGAGCAGGAAACCAAGGGGGACAACCACAGGACTATAGTGAATATTATGCCATTATTGATGACCTTAGGAATCAGGTAAGAAAAGAAAGAAGTTTAGTAGGATAAATATTTTTTATCTTTTACTGTATGATGATGCCATGTTAGTCTTAGGAGATTATGAGCCAGAGTGGTTTCTAATGTTCATTAACAGCAGGCAGTTCCTATTGCCAAGTTTAATGACCAGGAAATATCTGAGGAATGCTCTGCATGAGAAGAGCATATACTCTGGAAGGGGAATAGTGAAGGAGGTAGAATTCTCAATTGCGAATGCCTCCTTTGGAGACTCTTTTATCTTTAACAGATGTGATGCAAGGCAGTAAATTGTATTGCTTTCATCAATACAGTCTCAGTTTCAATAAACCAACTGAGATATGTATTTATTCATGGATAAGGCTGAAATGATAGTCACCCTCCTTTAAAGATAAAAAAAAAGTTTAAGGTAAGTGCCACACCTCTGTAATTTCTCACAGTTTATGATATGGCAATAATAAGATAACTTTTGAGTTCAGGAAAGAACAAACAGTCTTGTTAGGTTTTGGATGAGATCTTACTGAAAGTTCTTGAATGATGCTATCTGATTGCTTGAAAGAAATCTGATATTTACTAATTATCCTACTTTATGTGGCATAGTATCTTATATAGGAGAGCCAGTTTGGGGTAATGGTTAAGGCATCAGGCTAGAAACCAATAGATTGAGAGTTCTAGTCCCACCTTGACCACAAAGTCAGTTGCGTGACTTTAGCCAGTCACTCTCTCTCAGCCCTAGGAAAGAAGCAATGGCAACCACTTGTGAAAATCCTTGCCAAGAAAATTGCAAGGACTTGTTTAGGCTGTCTCCAAGAATCAAAACAATCGAACACAGGAAAAAAACCTTATATAATATACATTTACATTTACTAAATATGTCAACAATTGAAGTATTGAGTATATTAACCTAATTCCATTTCTAATAAGCCGTGGTGGCACAGTGGTCAGAATGCAGTATTGCAGACTAATTTTGCTGACTGCCGACTGCCAACAATTCGGCAGTTTGATTTTCACCAGCTCAAGGTTGACTCAGCCTTTCATCCTTCTAAGGTTGGTAAAATGAGGACCCAGATTGTTGGGGGCAATATGCTAACTCTGTAAACCACTTAGAGAGGGATGTAAGCACTGTGAAGTGGTATATAAGTCTAAGTGCTTTTGCTATTGCTAATATACTTTAGAATTTGTATACTGAAGAGGATATGGCCCATGGCCTAGCTTTGCTCACCTTTTATGCTCAATTCAGAAAATTATGCAGTGGGACTGCAATATTAAAGTTGTTGAAAACTATCTATGTTAAATAAACTTTCTATGTTGTTTCTTTTAGATAATTGCTGCATCAATTGACAATGGAACACTGATTTTGCAGATTGACAATGCTAGGCTGGCTGGTGCTGATTTCAAACTCAAGTAAGTAGGAGGGAAATTAGCATATTTCCTATATTCTGTTTTTCTTCATGATCTAGAAGAATGTGCCTCCTAAACTAAAGAGCTTTGCTGGTTAAAATAAAAAACAGATCTCAAGCAAATGAGATCTATTTCAATACAAGCAAATTCCAAATTCCTATTAAAGTTAGCTATCAACTCTCAGTTTAGAGAAAATATATTGCCAGGCTGACGATTATAACTGCTGACAGTAATTGTCTATATGAGAGAGAGTAAGGAATGCAATACTGAACTCAGATGTATTTTTGAATATTCTTACTTGCTATGGCTCCAAAATGGCTTAACATGATGCCATAGTGGTGAAAGGTCAGAGCCACCACAATGCAAGTTACCTACTATAAATAAAAAGGTCATTGGTAATGCAGCAAATACCTTTTCCATTGCTCCATATTTCTGAGCAGCAGGTTAATAGGGTAACTCCTCTCCAGCTCTCCATTTTATTCCTTGTCACTTAACAACAGAACATGCCTGTTACAAATATGGAGTATTGTTTTAAAGCAAATCTTTAATAGCTGAAGAAAACATTGAATGAAGACAAAGAAGGAAAGAGGAAAAATATATTTTCCTCAGATGTATCAGGAGCTGACAATATTTTTAATTGCTTTTAGGTATGATAATGAATTGGCCCTCCACCAAAGTGTTGAAATGGACACCAATGGCTTACGAAAGGCCCTGGAAGAAATTGAGATAACAAGCAATGATTTTAAAGTGCAGATTAGCAGCTTTACTGAAGAAATGGAACAGATGAAGAAAAATCATGAGGAGGTACTATTTTGGGGCTCATTTATACATAAAAACAGGGATAAATATATGTCAACAAAAACTAATACGTGAAAGTCTGAAAATGCGACCTGGCAAAACTCTCATTGGCTGGCATTAAAAGAATTGGACAGGATTGAACTGGATTGTCTCAGCAAAAAAGAAGAAGAAGAAGAAGACAATAATCCCCCTAATCCAACTCTAGTTTTGGATAAACAAAATGTTCATGTCAATCATGAATAGAATACAAAATGGGAGGAGTGCTGACATATTTCCCTCACCTGAGATCCACTTTGGATTTGAGCCACATCTTTCTGGAGTTTGGACCAATACCAGTTATATCAATTTTGCCCTATAGGGTTCTCAGAAAATCTACCACCATAATTTATGTTTTCCTTAGTAAAGAATGAGAATGTGGGAGGGGAATATTATTATATAATAGTCACAATATTATTACAGACTTCAAATGACAAGTAGAATAGAAGATTTCATTCTTCATAGTTAATTCAAATACTGCTGCAATCCAGAGCCCAAATATATCTACATTTATTCAGGAGAGTATTAGGTTGTCAAATTCAGTCTAAACAATTACTTACAAGCATCAAGGACAAATCCTGCACATTGCTGAGATGGATTTAAGCTCCTCCACCTCCAACAACAAACACAGTGCAATTTAGGGATTATACATTTGGTTTAAATTTTGCTATCTAAGTGTATTACTCTCCTGATCTTTAAATTTAATACATTGAAATATCTGGATAACATTGCTTAAATATTTACCTTTGTAGAAATGAAAATTGAAACTATCATTGGTTGTTTCAATTGTCAATTTGGGGATTTATATTATTCTTATATAAAAGCACATGCCAAATAAAAATTCCAAAATATTAAACTAAAAGTGCCAGGTATTTTCTCTATTTGCTACAGGCTTTTTTTTGACTCTCAGAAGTTTTAAAACACTTATTGAATCATTGTGTGACATGAAAGTGTGTGGTAAAGATTCATAGCATCATAATATTGTACTTCCAAGTGTGTTAGACATTGATTTCTGAACATATTCAAGCAAAATGAGATAGGCTCAATCAAAACTTTCCAAGTCTGTCTTAATTGTTAAAAACAGAAATAAATTATATTTTTCTTCCTGATACAGGATATGAACTCAATGAATGATTCTACTACAGCTGGAGATATCAATGTGGAAATGAATGTCACACCTGGAGTTGACCTGACTACTCTCCTCAATCAGATGAGGGGTGAATATGAGGTTCTGGCTGAGCAGAATAGAGAGGATATTGAGGCTTGGTTCAATGAGCAGGTGAAATATATCCTAATAATATTCTTTATAAAGATTCTTTTTTAAAACAAAATTATTTTTAATTAAAAATTGTGGGCAACAACATTTTTCAAATTCTGATATATTTCAGAGCCAAGAACTGAACAAGCAGATCAACACCAGTGTTGAGGAAACCAGTACCAACAAGAGTGAGATTACTGAACTGAAACGCACTTTGCAAAGTCTTGAAATTGAACTGCAATCTCAACAATCACTGGTAAAAAAAAATTCTCCATAAGTATTTTAACAGTAGCTTTAAAATTATGGAGTAACTAAATATTTAATCTTCTCTTTTGACAAAGAAATTCTCTTATGACATGTGAATTGGAGTAAATCTCTTTGTTCTAGATTCTAGCTGCAACCAACCCAAATTATCATAGTTTTCCCTTTCTAATTCTTGACAATTTGAGAAATTGACAGGCATACAGGGTAACCACCAAGTATTACTAAAATACAACTCCCACTGTCTCTGATAATTGCTATGAAGATGTAATTTATCACAATTTACCACTAACACCTAGAGACCCTAAACACAACTATCCACCATTGATTTAAAATACATAGAGACTTTATTAGTACTGCACGCTTAGTAATGTTAGTATGCTATTCCATAATCTAGTAAGCAATAGTAGAGATGGTTCATTTTATTTCCACAGAAGTACAAGAGTCTTCAATTAACCTTTCAACTACCAGCAGAGATGAAAACCTACAATACCTATAATAACTAACAATTCTTCCTTGACTTAAGTTTTCATTCCTATGTCCTCAGATGTGTAAGAAGTAAAGAAAGAAATAGGGAGAACATGTGAGCCTTTCAAAATTCCATTCATGAGAGCGTCAATCAAATCAGGCTATCTCCATTTTTCTTTCCCAAAGAGATAAATAGTAGCTGGGGTGGGTGAGGCACCAACAATGGCTGTTCCCTATTTAATCCAGGAATCTTTGACTATGTACAGCTAGTTCAAATGTGATTCCCACAATCAGGTTGTCTAGTAGCTGGAACTTGAAAGTATTCATATGGAATATACTACACAGAAAATGGCTTTGAGTGAAATTCTATAATATCTTACTTGCTTGTTCACAAAGGACTCATACTAATTACTGCAGAAAAAGAACAGATTCTTGTATACTTTTCCTTAGAATTCTAACATGCTCAAACCTACTTCATGTTAGCTGTCAATCACATGCAATATATCCAACTTTATTAGGATAACAAATTCTACATCTGAAAAATAAAAACTACATTTATTCATATTCAATATAGCATCTAAAAGCAGGTTATGAGGGAAATATATGAATCAATGCTATTTGACAGATGCTGCACTAGTGCAAGTTTAATGGCTGTGGAGTTCTGGAAGTTGAAATACACAGATCGGAAAATCATTGATATATATATATATATGATTAAAAAAACAAAAAAGACTTGGCACCATAGTTAAACTTTCCACACAGCCTACAAGTTTGTTTAGACTGTTTCCAAGGGAACATTGCTCTTGATAATAGAAAAAAAGATTACTCAGTCATGTTTTGCATTCATAGTGTTCATTTTACATTCATACTGTTTTATTTTTCCATCAGAAACAATCTCTTGAGTCTACTCTAGTAGAGACAGAAAATCAGTACTGTTCCCAACTGTCCCAAATACAAGAAGTGATTGGCAGTGTGGAAGGCCAAGTACAGCAGATAAGAGATGACATGGAGTGTCAGAACAGAGAATACGAACAGCTCCTGGATGTTAAGATCCGCTTGGAAAATGAGATTGACACTTACCGAAGTCTCCTTGATGGAAGTGAAAGGTAAGGTGAAAATTTGGAGAATATTGTATTTCTTAAAAATCTTTGATCTTGCCTGACCTGAGTTTCTCCCTGAAAAAGCACCGAAACATATACCACTTCAGATCTGGTTTAACTACAGTAAGCTTTGTCTAATAGCCGTACTGAGGATGTTGTAGGCTAGAGTCAATCAGTAGCTGCAGACCTGTAGTTCCTCAAATACTCCTCAAATATTCTTTTCCCTTAATTTTAATATCATTCTATATTAGATGATAGAGAACAGAGAATGGTAGCCTCTCTTTAAAAGGTATTTTCTATTCTATAACATGAAATAGAAATGGACTCTTCTCTCCCAACCAATAAAAACAGGCACAGTAAATTTGCATTGATTATTTCTACCCAAAAACTGAAATAAAAAAATAATAATCACATTTAGAGTTATCTACAACAAAATGTTTAAACAGTTTTTTTTCTCTCTCTCTCTCTCTGTCTCTCTCTACTTTTATATAATTTTGAAACTGGAAGCAATGATAGAACTTCAGGAAGAAGAGACATGAGACAACCTTCAGAAGTTAAATCCAGAGGACAAACAGGTTCAAAATCTAGAGACCAGTCATCTTTCAGCTCTGGATCTAAAGCCTTAGGATCTTCAGATTTAAGATCTAGGGAATCATCATCAGCATCTTCTGGTACTCAATCTAGAAGTGCCTCTCAGTCCAAAGGTTCTGGATCTGGAGATTCTAAACAGACAGGTAAATTGGGATCTGGAAACAATCCCAGAAGTAATACATTTTTCTTATTTTATATATATTTACTTCCATATTTTGATAAACAGTGTTATCTTGCTATCCATTGAAGCATAAAAAGTGTTGATTTGTTCCATATTAAAACAGCAGAGTTGCAAAAACTTAACCTTACTTTAAAATGTTTTGTTATGTACATATAGTGTAGAAATGCATAAGCTAAAGGCCAGCAGTGTTCTTTCCCTTAAATATGTATTATGGGTTATCCTGTACAATGTGGATACTGAAACCATGAAAGTTGTATCTGGCAAATAGAACTCCTATTTTCTGCATGTGCCAGCTCAATTTTCCCTTCCAGATAAAACATTTGAGATGGGTGCTGTAATGTACATTTGTATACCCTTAAGATACATTTCTGAGAGAACAGCAACAAATGCCTTGATAATATTAAAGTGTAGTGCATTTTTAAAATATGAGATTAGATTCCATTAATTAATTGACACAAATACAATATTTAATATTTGCTGACTGCTTATTCTGGGACACCAGATTTTCCCTATCTGATAGCCAATATATATTTTTAGATTAAATTAAGGACTACCTAAAGTGAAGCTTAATTTACAATTTAAAGGGGTGTGCCCATTTAATTTCCTATCCACTAGAAGGCATTTATTTGCCATTGCTTTCTTTGGGGATTTTTTTTTAAATTAAAAAGATTCTCAATCTATATTAGAAGATATTATTCAACATGTCTGGACTGATAAAGACTGTAGTTTATATAGAAAAATTAAAAAATGCCATTTGTTGCAGTAATTTGGGTCCATCAGTCAAACCATATAAAAAGTCTTAAATATTTTTTAAAATAGTAGTTGACATTTTTTTTTTTTTGTTTAAAAGTAATCTTTAGCCAGCCCTTTACAAAAATGAAAGTTATAGGATCTTTTATATAACCTAAAGAAATTATCAGGGTCAAATATCATTCCTTTCCCATCATTTCTGAAACCTATTGGTGGCCAATAGACTATCAAGCGTTATACAAATTTTGGTTGATGGGAGTTAACTTCCAATATTTTAGACATAAATATTTTATTTAATCACTGAGGATTATTTGGGGAAGGATTTAGTACAAAGCAATGAGTTGCCTGCGCAAAGAACCAGGTACAATCCTTAGATTTTCAGAATGAGGTTGTGATCCTTCTTTGCTGTAAAACAAACTAGGCTCAATAAATCAACATTGGACAGCTTCCTCTTTATCTAAACCATGCCTTTACTTTTCCTGTGAAATTGACTTAGAATTTAAAATAATTATTTTTCTCCTAAATCTCTGAATTCTTTCTTTACAGACCCCCAAAAAACAAGAGTGATCAGAACCATAGTGGAAGACAGAATTGGTGACCAAGTTGTCTCAACTCGTGTTCAATCTGTTGAAGAAAAACCCATTAAATAAGCAGTCTCAGCTTTACTACAAAGTCTTTCGAAACACAGCACTCAGATAGAAACAGATAGCTACCTTCCAAAATAGGATCATCTTCCTTTCTTGGCTTCTGCAACTGCTTCTTTTCACAGCATATTTCTTCTTTGCAATTCTAGAATGAAAATGTTGACTTCATTTTTGGCATTCCGCAATAAACATTGCATGTTGCAGCAAAAACTGTCAAGTTTCATTTTGCTTACATATAAACTGTTGATCACATATTGCTCACAGTGTATGTCAGTAGTTGTCAGTTATCAATAAAGCAGCAAAATTAGAGTCCAATCAAAAGCACCACAAAGACATTTGTTATATCAGGTAGCAATCACTCTAATTATCCAAATTCTACCTGGCAGGATTCTGATTTATGGTGGTCCAGTCATGCAAAATTATAATTAACATATCAGTAATCTTACAGAATAATTAAACAGCATTTTATGGAATGCCATCATAATTTGAATAACTGCAATCTATATTCTATAAGCTTTTTAAAGTATATGTGGGTCAAAGGAAACATAAAATATATGTGAATCAAATGTTGTACTTTGGGTCAACAGTACTTTCTAGAGCATGGTTGTCAAACACGATTGCATCACGTGACGTATCATGACGTATCACAATGTTTTTTGCCTTTGTGGAGCCGGCCTGCGTGTGATGCATCCAGACCCCAGGCTGCCAGTTTGATAGCCCTGTTCTAGAGCAGTTTCTCAACCTTAGAAATTGTACTCCTATAATTTCCAGGCCAACATGTTGATGGAATTGAAGTTCACACATCTTAAAGATGCTAAGGTGAGAAATATTGCTTTAGAGCATCTGTATCTCTGGATTGTTACAGAAAAGTCTGAATGAGAGCAATATTCTTGCTTTTATATCCAAGATATTCCTCACATTATAGTCACCGTATAAACTAAGTCGTAACCACTATATTTGCTCAGAATAAAAGAAAAGGTGACAGTAGTAACTGGGGTCATTAAACAATTTTGTGATCTATTTGGTTTTGGTTTACTGTGCCATGAACCCAGTCGCTGCTAATTTTAAAACATGATTTATGGCTTAATGACCTTTGATAAATATAACACTATGGAATCCTATACCATATGTTGAATAAGATATACTGCTCATACAGTACATAATCATATTTTGAGATTTGGGCTATGCTACAACAGCCTTACCTGGATACCCTTCAGATTTCTGTGTTGCATCTCACAAAATCCCCATCTAAAGACCATTAAGATATTTGGATTGTTACAGAACAATCTACCTGGAGATTGCCAGACTGGGAAATGAAACGATGGATATTTAATTTTAAGACCTAGATGAAAACAGTGACAAATTTGTAGTTTTCATACTTGGCGAGAATTCATCTATACACTCTGTGATGAAATGCATAGTTTGTTGAACAAGCTGCAGGGAGTCTATTTCACATATGAGGCTATTAGGCTTCTTATAACACTTCAAGTTTTATATTGCATAAATATAAATTTAAAGATTGCATTAAACATCCAGAGCTCAATATCCTTATTATCATATTAATCAGTGGTGAAATCCAATTTTTTTTACTACCAGTTCTGTGGGCGTGGCTTGGTGGGCATGGCAGGGAAAGGATACTGCAAAATCTCCATTCTAACCCCATTCCAGGGGAAGGATACTGCAAAATTCCCATTCCCTCCCCACTTCTGGGGGAAGGATATTGCATAACCTCCATTCCCACCCCACTCTGGGACCAGCCAGAGGTGGTATTTGCCGGTTCTCTGAAATACTCAAAATTTCCACTACTGGTTCCCCGAACTGCTCAAAATTTCCGCTACCAGTTCTCCAGAAGCTGTCAGAACCTGCTGGATTTCACCCCTGATATTAATCATATTATGATCATATTAACCTTGAACATAATTGATTATTGCACAGGGCTTGCTTTAATACTGAGTATAAAAAATGGTTTTGCTGAATTAACCCAAGATTAACATAGATTTAAAAACTATCGAGTGATCAAACAGAACATAGTTATGGTGAAGTGTATCCTGAGCAATTCAGAAATATAAGAAACTCTTGTTTCTGATCATTTATATAATAGCCAATTTGGGATATTTGCATATATTATGGCAATGTTATTGTTGCATTGTGGAGAGACCAAAATAAGGTTTGAGCTTGTGGCAAAAGAATCATGGAGTCTGAATCTGACATAGGCTAAAGAAAATATTCTTCAATAATATTTTATCTCTGATCATAAAGATTGGTGCAAACTAATTTCTCTAGGATTAAACTATTCCAATATTAATACCCAATATATGTCAAACCCTTGTGACTGGCTCTTCTCAGAAGTTAACCACTGCTTTTAATTAGGAGAGATCATTTGTATTTTCAAGACTACTTGATTCAATGAAAATAATCTCCTTATTTGCTTGATCTTTTTCAGTTGTGAGCTTTTAGTCAAAAATTTTATATATATATATTTCCATTTGATTAAGCTAGCTATTGAAGTGTCTTTCATCTGCTGGATCGTTAACGACATGAAAAGGAAAGAAAAAATGGCAAGAAATAAAACCATTGATATTTAACAAAGTACTTAGTGAAATAGCTTTTACACAAGAAAAAGAAATACATTAAAATGACATAAGGATGCTTTTCCAGAAATAAACCAAGTCACATAGCTTTTTGTACCAACACCCAGGGTGAAAAAATAACAAAGAAAACCACTCTCCTCAAAAAAGGCTTGTACACCCTCCTGTTATGAAAGACCTGATTTCATAAATGCAAAAATGAAAATATGTATATAACAATGAGCTTTTTAAATGATGGAAAGACTAAAATGTAGATAATTACTCAATCTTGCTGAAAAGTTAATGAAAGTTTTGGCCTGGTCAAATCCACCCATTCTCCACCTTAAAAGAAAAAAAAAGTGGGGGGGAAGATGACAAATAGCCCAAGGGGAAATCAGCAGGATGGAATATCAGGTCTCATTATTAATAGCCATCAGTCAAATGGATTTGAAATGATAAATTGGCCAAACAATGTAGGTATGAAATGACATTCCAACGAAAGAACACACCCTTAAAAATTGACATATAAAAACTTGGAGATTATTCTTTATGATTCAGGTTCTTCTGGGTTGTCACTGGTTCATTTTCATACTCTTCTTGAAACTTACTGAACATCATGTCTTACTTTGGCTGTGGAGCTAGGCAAACTTCTTCCTCTCGCAGTAGTGGGGCACCTCTTAAACTTTCTAGCTGTGGTATATATGGGTCAGGTGGAGGATCCAGCACAAGCTTTAGTAGTGGGATAGTTTGGGGCTCCAGATCAGGATGGGGTAAAATTGGTGGTGATGGCACTGGTAGTTGCTTCCATATCTACAACTGTAGTCCTGCTGGTGGTGATGTTGGTCTTTTAGCTGGAGGAGACAAAGAAACCATGCAGAATTTAAATGACCGCTTGGCTTCCTACCTAGCTAAAGTGCGTGCTTTGGAAGAGGCAAATGGTGATCTTGAGCAAAAAATCAGAAATTGGTATCAGAAATCTGCAACACACATTAATGAAGGACTCTACAATGATAGCAAATATAATTCTTCTATTGGTGACCTTCGAAATAAGGTAAGTCAATGGATTTTGAAAAATCAAATGAGGAATTATTTTACCACTTCAGGTTGTTTAGCAAATAGACAATGTAATCTGCAGTGCCACATGCCAGTATCTATCAGTGTTTGGGAGCTTCATCCCACAAAATTCTATTTCTGTTGAAATTGGTGTGTGTGCCTTTGTGTGAGTGTGTGTGTGTGTGTGTGTGTGTGTGTGTGTGTGTGTGTGTAATTGGAGTAGGTATCTGTCAACAACTGGTACCTCCATTACAAAAGCCTCTATTTATTCCAGAGATAATGAAAATATTTATCATAATATTGCGCACTTATTGACCATAGACTACTACTCAGCATTACAAATTCAGCTTTCTCCACTGCTGATTTAGAAAGTCATCCATCCATCCTTGTCAGTAAACCATACCAGCCTGACATCTGCTGTCCCCATTGCCAGTCTCCTATCCACTTCTGTTACATCTGTTCCTGGTCACTGTAGCCACTTGACTACCAATTTTTGATAAAGCTTAACAGTTTGTACATATTTTGACCTACCTTTGTATGTTGGAATTGGGGGAAGGGGAGAGAGAAATCTTACTTTTAACATTGATTGAGCTAAGGACAACTTAAAGCTATTTCATTCACGAGCATAGGGAAAATAATGGCAATGTGATGGGGACACAATGGAAACAAATGTGTTATCAGATTGTGTTTTCTTGTGATGAAATGAAAGTAGAGAAAGATTTTCCAAGCTTCTTCAGCAAAAACTGGACATGTGTTCTTTTGACAGCTATTTATAGCATAATTCTACCTCCCAATTCCTTCAAAACCGTTTTTCAGCTGTTCATGAATTTTTCTTTTCTGCCTATCTTAGAATGCTGATAGAGAGATATCCTATAAACTGATTAATTTTTTCTCCAACCAATTAACCAGAATGCAAAATTTGAATTTCCATCCATGCCCTATCCCCTGAATTAAGACTGCTTTTAGAGTAACAAAATTCCCCTTCTTCACAGAAAAAGATCATCAGCATCCTATTCCACTCAATCTATTTCAACACTTGTTATGTAGTTTAAAAATGAAAGAAAGAAAGAAAGAAAGAAAGAAAGAAAGAAAGAAAGAAAGAAAGCTCAGTGCATGTTATTCTTCATATAAATACATTCTCACTTAAAGCATAACATAAGTTTGTAGCTAGATGCTTTTTCCAACAACTGCAATCATACTTGTCTATTGCAATGTAATGCATTGCAGAGGGCGGGAGGCAGGATGAAATAAAAATGCTTACACAAACAGACAAAATCATGTATGCCAAGTTTTTGTACAGAAGTATGAGACTAGAAAATAACTAAAAATATTACGATGGGTTCCAGATTAGATTCATGGGAAATGCTAAATTTGTGAGAAGAAGACTGATACACACATTTGCTGTTAACCACTATGATACCAAAATGATGAAACATGTCACAATGCTAGCCCCACCCTTTCATACCTGTGTTAGATCACATGCAAGTATGTGAAATGTTCCATCACTTGCCACTCCCATCATGAATACCCATGGAGGAGTCAATAGTTCCTATCAATGGAAAAAACAGCCCCTTCCCAAATTAA